GTTGTTGTTTGTTTGATAGGGTCTAACCCTGTCACCCAGGCTGGAGTGTAGTGGTATGATCACAGCTTACTGTAACCTTGAACTCCTTGCCTCAGCCTCCCAGATAGCTAGAGCTACAGACACATACCCCTATTCCTGACTAATCATTTTATTTGTATTTTTTTTGTAGAGAAAGGGTCTTGCTGTGTTACCTAGACTGATCTCAAACTCCTGGCCTCAAACGATCCTCCTGCATTGGCCTCCCAAAGTGCTAAGATTACAGACCTGAACCAAATGGCCCTGTTTTTTGTTTTGTTTTTTATTGTGTCCATTCAGCCACTGTAGATCTCTTGACAGAAGCATTTAATTCATTTACATTCAAGTTAATTAGTGATAGGTAAGGACTTACTATGGTTGTTTTGTTAATTATTTTCTGGCTATTTTTTTTTAAAGATGCTTTATTCCTTTCTCACTCTCTTGCTGTCTTCTTTTGTAATTTGATTGTTTTCTATAGTGGTGTGCTTTCGTTCCTTTCTCTTTATCTTCTGTGTATCTATTCTGGGTTTTTGCTTTGTGGTTATCATGAGGCCTATATAAAACATTTCATAGTTATAACAGTTAATTTTAAGCTGATGTCATCTTAACTTTGATTGCATATAAAACTTAGCACTTTTACTCCTTCTCCCTCACAGTTTATGTTTTTGATGTCACTATTTACATATTTTAATATTGTGTATCTATTAGCACATTATTGTAGCTATTACTGTTTTAATACTTCTGTCTTTTGACCTTTATACTAGGGTTATAAGTGATTTACATACCACAATTACAGTATTAAAGTATTCTGAATTTGACTATATACTCACTTTTACCAGTGAATTTTATAGTTTTCTTTGTTTTCATCTTACTAATTAGTGTTCTTTTGTCACAGTTGGAAGAACTTCATTTAGCATTTTTTGTAAGGCAGGTCTAGCAGTGATGTACTTCCTTGGCTTTGTTTATCTTGGAAAGTCTTTATCTCTTCTTTTCTGAAGGACAGTTTTGCCAGGTGTAGTATTCTTGGACCGTTATTTTCCTTTAAGCACTGTGACTATGTCATCCCACTGTCTCCTGGACTGCAGTTTCTGCTGAGAAATTTGATGATATCCTTATGAGAGTTCCCTTGTATATGTGGAACCTCTTCTTTCTTGCTGCTTTCCAAATCCTTTTTTTGTCTTTGATTTTCTACAGTTTGATTAAAATATGTTTTGGTAAAGACTTGTTCGAGTTGACCTGATTGGAGACTTTTGAGCTGCATATATCTGGATGTCCATATGTCTCACCAGGTATGGGAAGGTTTCAGCCACGATTTCTTTCAATAAGCACTCTGCCCCTTTCTTTATACCTTCTTCTGAGACTTCTATAATGTGAATGGAGCTCTTCCGAAGGCGTCAAATGAATCTCATAGGCTTTCTTCATTCCTTTTCATTCTTTTTTCTTTTTTATTCTTTGTCTAGATATTTTTTAGTGACCTGTCTTTGAGTTTACAGATTACCTCTTTTGCCTAAACAAGTCTGCCATTGCCCTTCTCTACTGCAGTTTTTTCATTTTATTCATTGTTTTCTTCAATTCTAGAATTTTCATTTGGTTGTTTTAAAATGATTTCTGTTTCTTTATTGAACTTGTTTCATTTATTTATTTTTTTGATAATGTTGAGTTATCTGTGTTTTTTTGTTTTTTTTTACAGCTCACTGAGCTTTCTTAAATTATTTTGAAATATTTTCAGGGAATTATAGATCTCCTTATCTTTGGGGTAGGTCACTAGAATATTACTCTGTTCTTTTGGTGGTGTCATGTTTTCTTGATTTCTTTTCTTTTTTTCCACACCCTCTTCTCCTTTTCCTTGATTTTTCATGCTTCTTTACATTTTGTGTTGCTGTCTTCACATTTGAAGAAGTGGTCATCTCCTCCAGTCTTTACTGACTGTTCTTGGGAGAGAAGTATCTCCACCAAACAGCATAGCTGGGAATTTCATGGCGCTCTTAGATCTTTTCTATGGATACATCCACTGTACACCTCTTGTTCCCTCTAAGGGTATTTTTTTTTTTTTTAATAGAGTCTTGCTCAGTCACCCAGGCTGGAGTACAGCAGCATAAACTTGGCTCACTGGAACCTCTGCCTCCTGGGTTCAAGCAACTTTACTGCCTCAGCCTCCTGAATACCTGGGACTACAGATTTGTGCCACCATACCCAGCTAATTTTTGTGTTTTTAGTAGGGATGGGGTTTCACATTGTTGGCCAGACTGGTCTCAAACTCCTGACCTCAAGTGATCCATGCGCCTCGACCTTCCAAAGTGCTGGGATTACAGGTGTGAGCCACTGCGCCCAGCTCCTCTAATGGGATTTCCTTAGGCTGTATGTCTACCCTTGACCCTGCACAGCCAGGCCAGGTGCTCAAAGTCTCCTGTTTGTTTTTCCTAGGATGGTGTCTTGAAACCCTCACATTGTGTACGTTCCTTCAATCCCACAAAATTGAGCTGCCTCTGTGTGTAAGATGCTTGCAGTGCTGTCCACAGGGGCATGCTTGGGAGCCTGGTCTGGGAAAGATGGGGTTGAGGCATAAGCCGTGTTTGGGATGCCTATGGGTCAGTTGGGAGGGATCCACAAGCAAGGCATCCCAAGTGGCTCATGGACGGGTTTCCTGACGGAGTCTGTGGAATGGTTAGTAGGATCTGCAGCCTCTCTTCCTAGGAACATTCTCTCCCCACTACTCAGCCATGGCGATCACCTCAGTATTGTGGCTGGGATGGGAAAGAAGTGGTCTTCATGAACCATGTCCTGCATGACTGGGGAAGCTGGGCATTCACCACCACTATGCTCTCACTTTCCCAACGGGAGAAATTTTGGTTAAAGGGTATCTTTTTTGTCACTGAGCTGTGCTGCCTTGGAGGAGGGAAGACTTGGATAGTGTTAACTGTTCTTGTTACCCTCTTCAATGCACCTAGCCTCAGGGTTTTTGCACCAATAGTGTGCTGAAACTTTGCCTCTCGACTCCCCAAACATACTCGTCTCTGTTGGTAATTGTTAAAGTTAATGCTTCTGTGGAGTGAGACATGATGACGGTAGAAAGCTCTGATTCCACCATTTTGCTGATGTCAGTTTTGATTTCTAACTGTTCACCTTCCTTCTGATATTTTGTCCCTAGACCCTGCTTGTCAGTCTCATTTCCTGAGCTCTGATATGTTCCAAGAGCTTGTCTTTTTCCTTCGCTTCTGCAGTTAGCTTCACAAAAACAAGAATCTATATGGATCATTGCATTAGTAATAGATACGGACCCTGTTTTTGTGCTTGGTGCTTTTAGCCTTAAATTCCATCTTTTCTGGTATTATTGGTTTCTTTCCTCTTTTGTTTTTTACTGTGTTTTCCTGGTGTCTGTTTGTCCATCCCTTTATTTTTAACTTTTCTTTAGCATAAAGACTGATATGCTTAATCTTATATTTTACATTACTTCAAAATTTGTATTACTTCATAATTATTAGTTATCAATATCTCTTCTTGTTTTCCTCGTTATTTTCTGATTTCAATGGATTGCTATTCATTCTATTTTCCTTCTGTTTTCTCCTTATTAATTTAGACGTTTGACTAAAATTTTTGTTCTATTGTGTTGTTTTCTTGTGCTCATTAGACATCTATGTACTTTTTTTTCTTTTTCTTTTTTTTGCGAGTGAGATTCCAGCATTTCCTCCACTATGGTCATCTCCCTGTGTCCCTTGACCCTGTAAGAGATGAAACCTCTAAAATGATTCCTTTCTGTCTTTTCTCCTCATCACCCCTTCCCACTCCTTAAGGTGAGATCTTTGGAACATTCTTACATCTCTTCTCCTACTCTACCTATAACTCCTAGATTTTCCTGGAATTCTCTAGGATTTTAGTCCCAGATTATAATTGGAATTTTCCTTGCTGCATGTCCCTCCTGTTTCCAAAGGACTTACGTAGCATTTACACTACGAAATCCCCCATTAGCCATTAACATCCACTTAACCTGTCGATATTGGGTTCATTTTTCATCGGCATTTTCTTTCCTCTCATTTCCCTATGTCTTGAGATCTCAATCTAATTCTCTCTTTTGAAGAGTTTTGCTTGATTGTTTTCTTCAGGTGGGAATTGCTGGTGGTATACTCTTCACATTCTTGCATGTTAGCAGGTTCCTTCTTTTGCCCTGGTGGGTGAATACCATCTTGGATAAGTAGAGAGTTGTAAGTTGCTTTCTGCTTAGCTATTGGCAAAGGTCATTTCCATTGTCCTGTGGCTTCCAGTGTTGTCAATAAGAAGTCAGAGGCTAGTTTTTCTTTTTGCAGATAATGTGTACTTTCTGTCAATTAATTTGTCAGCTTTTTTTTTTTGTTTTTGTTTTAAACTTTTGGGAATCTTACCAGGACGTGCCCAAGTGAGTGTTTTTCTTTATTCCTCAAGTCTAGAACTCCGGAGTCCTTTCAGTCTCTAGACTCCAGGGTCTCTTCTGCTTAGGAATAATTTTTTGTATTATACCCTTTAAAATTATTCCCTCTCCTTTGTTTCCTCTTTTCTGGAAGTCCATGTCACTGTTCATAATAGGTCTCCTGGATCCGGTCCCAAGTCTCATCCTTCCTCTTATTTGTCCACCATGTTGCTTGACCCATGTGGTGAGAATTTTTTCTCAGTGTGTTTTCTAGTCACTAGTTCATATCTCTCCAAAGACTGTCCTCTCTTTAACTCATCTACCGAATTGTTCAGTGGAACAGCTCCCAGATAAAGTACAGAACTGATTAAATTTGAATCTCAGATAAACAGTGAATAAAATTTTAGTGTAAGTATGTTGGCTACAGCATGGGACATAATATACTAAATTTCTTGACTATTTATGTGAAATTGAAATTTAATGGGGTGTCTTGTACTTGTTTGAATGTAGTTGCTTTAATTCTGGCAACCGTGTTCAATGGAGAAATTGTATGTTATGGTCCAGACATTCTTGTTGATATGCATTTGATTCTCCTTAAGGGTCCTTCTTTATTTCCTTGGTTCTCTGTTATCTTTAGAAGCTTCTGTTCACTGGCCAGGTGTTTTGTTTGTTTGGGTTGGTCTTTCTTTGGATGCTGAGTTGCCCTTGCTATGTTATTTGAAAACAGTCAGAGGTCTCCTTATCACAGGACCCCAAGTAGAGGCTGACCTCTGACCGGTAGAAGATAAAGGAATGTTTCCCGTAGCAAGAAGGTGGAAAAGGGGAGGGCCTGCGGTAGAAGGTAGACAGCAGTCCCATGCCGAGGGCCTAAGCAGAGCCCCTCTGTGCCAGACTGTCTCTGTGCTCTTCTGGCTTCACAGATGTGAAAAATTAAGTTCATCTGTTCACTGTCTTCATGGCCTCTAGGAGCCATGGATACTGGGCATACTGAGATAAGACTGATACTATCTCTCACCTCAGGGGTTCTTGTAGCCCACAGATCACACTGTTTTTGCAAATCTGTCATTAGCAATCTCTATCTCCAGGTTTTCAGGTGCTGGTCTCATGGCTCTTCCCCAGTTCAAAATAAGAAAACTCTACAGATACTCTGTCCACTAGAACCCATTCCCATCTACCCCCCACTCTGTCCAGGTAAGAAACCAACCATCTCAAGAGAGGAACTAGGCAGGAGTGGGAGGGGAAGATGGGCACTGAGGTATCAAAGACCTAAAAGATGCAAATTGCTAAAGGAAGCAATAATCAGATTAGGTGTGGTGAAAGACCTGGAAAAAAATTTAGAAAAAAAAAATTCAAGTTTAAGAGGATTCTGCTCTTGGAATATGTCACCGTTTCTTTATGTTCTCATTTCATTTAAAGCAACCAAAACTGATATCAGAGAGGAGGCATATGGATGTGATCTGTGCAGAGAAGATAACAAGGGTGCTATGCAGCTGTAGCCGCACATGGCTTGGGATGACTGTATTATGACAGGTATAGAATGTTTCATTATCTTGGAGGGTTCTACCGGACAGTGTTACAGTTAGTGTCCATACTCACAGAGAAGTCCTTGCCTCTCCATTACAAACTCTGGCTAACCCATCTGCGTGTGTGTATCTTGAGGTAAAATGATATTTTTCATGCATGTATTGTTTTAACGTAGCACTTGAACCTGGAGGACGTTATGCTGAATAAAATAAGCCAGGCACAGAAACGCAAGTATCACATCATCTCACTTATAGGTAGAATTTTGAAAAATTAAATTCATAGAAGTAGAGAGTAGAAGGGTATACCAGAGACTGGTTAGGGAAAGGAGAAGAAGAAATGAAGAGATAGTGGTGAAAGTGTGCAAAGTGTCATTTACACAGGAGGAGTAAGTTTTTGAGATTTATTGCACAGTATCATTGCTATAGTTAATATAAATAGTATATTTCAAATTGCTGAGAGAGCAAATTTAAATGTCTTACCATAAACATGATAATTAATTGAGTTAATGGATATGTTAGTTATCTTGCTTTAATCACTTCATATTGAATAAATGTATCAAAACATTATATTGTACCCCATAAATATTTACAATTATGAGTTGCCATTTAAAAATATTATTAATTTAGGCCAGGCATGGTGGCTCATGCCTGTAATCCAAACACTTTGGGAGGCTGAAGTGGGAGGATCACTTGAGGTCAAGAGTTTGAGACCAGTCTGGCCAACATGGTGAAACCCTGTGTCTACTAAAAATACAAAACTTAGCTGGGCGTGTTGGTGCATGCCTGGAATTCCAGCTACTCAGAAGACTGAGGCAGGAGAATCATTTCAACTTGGGAGGTGGAGGTTGCAGTGAGCTGGGAGATTGACCATTACTCTCCAGCCAGGGGGACAGTGCAACTCCATATCAAAAAAATAAAAATAAAAACAAAACCATTATTAATTTAAAAAGATTTTAAGTGATCAACTGTTACTTTACCACAGTCTCATTGGAGAATAAGGTTCTACTGCAGTTCTAAGTCACCATGTGCTGAGTGAAGTGGTTAACTAATGATTTGAAAGAATACATGAGAGAGGATATCAGAGTGAGCAACAGGGGGAGCCCTGTTTTCTTTACAGAAAAAGTAAACAACTGTTTGTTTAGTTAGCACTGAATTTTAGGATGGACTTCACCGAAGGGTGAATGGCTCAGTACCCTTCTCCAAGATTCTGGAGGCGAAGCCACTTGTAGCTCCATCATCAGCCAGCTGGATGTCAGACTCACGTCTGTCCTGGCCAAGGCCGTTTTGCTGTCTGGTTGCTCCCACCAAGAAGCCTTCCCAGAACCATACCCTCCTTCCTTGTGCCTGTGCTTTCTATGTTGCATTTCCTTGTGTTTTCTTTTTACATATAATTTTCTCCCCGCACTGTAAGCCGCATGAGGACAAGGACCATGACTGGTTTTGCTCACTGCTATATCCTCAGTACTTAGTACATAACAGGACATCAGTAAATATTAGTTGAATGGAAGATTAAATCAACACAAAGGTGAGCTCCTGATGATCATAGGTATGTATCTGGGTTCTATTCCATTAAGGAATGAGAGATTGGCTGCTGGAGGCAAGAACATATTTCATTTACATTTACGCATTTGACCCTGAAAAATGTCACCAGATTTTACAATTTATTTACAATGGTGTCTTGGAATGACTGCAGGCTCATAAATAACCAGGAAAGATAAGGCTGAAGAAAAAAACAGTTGAAGAATCGGTTGCTTGTTTTAAAAACTCATTTCACAATGTGCTATTTTCTTACCAAAGAGGCAGGAAGCTCAATGTCTATAAAACTTTAAAGTAAGTATTTCCCTTTAAAATGAAGACACACTCTTAAACCTCTCTGTGAACCAATCTCTCCATAAATTTTTATGATGTATTGGAATTAGAGTGTGCTAATTTAAGTGTGATGCCCAAAAAACACGGCAAAGGAAAAAAAACAAGCCTTAATTTTCTTGAATCTCAAATAATAATGAGTAATTGCACAAGAAATAATCAGGATCTTTGAAAATAGAAGGAGTCTTTTCCATTGCCACTGGTAGCTTAAATGTGTAGCCCAGGAGTCAGAACAAGGAGTCAGTTTCTTTTCAAGGACCTGAAATAAAAAGGCAAATAGCAAAGCCTGTGCCCAAACAGGCAGCTTGGTGTAACTCCTTATCCCAGGATGCTCAATGGCTTTGTAAAAGAAATATCAATCAGGAACATTCTTCTAACATAAATAAGCTAGAGGAAATATCTTGATTTTTAGAACTGATAGGATTTCAAAACAGGAAAATCTTCAAAGCCATTGCATTTTTTTTTTTGAGAACAAGATATTTCTTCCCAAGGCAACATTCATGCCCTGGAACTGGCCGAGTAATCCTCCTGCTGACCTTTTCCCTTGTTCAGAGAGGCTCAATGGTGACTAGCATGCCATTTCTTATGCATTCTGAGTAAATGTGACGTTCTGAGTTTTGTTAGGTGGTGCAAAAGTAATTGCGGTTTTGCCATAAAAAGTAATGACATGCCGGGCACGGTGACTCACGCCTGTACTCCCGGCACTTTGGGAGGCTGAGTCAGGTGGATTCATGAAGTCAAGAGATTGAGATCATCCTGGCCAACATGGTGAAACCCCGTCTCTACTAAAAACACAAAAATTAGCCAAGCGTGGTAGCATATGCCTGTAGTCCCAGCTACTCTGGAGGCTGAAGCAGGACAATCACTTAAACCCAGGAGGTGGAGGTTGCGGTGAGCTGAGATCACACCACTGCACTCCAGCCTGGCAACAGAGGGAGACTCCATTTCAAAAAAAAGAAAGTAATGGCAAAAACTGCACCTACTTTTGCACCAACCTAATAGTTCCTAATTAAACTCTATATTCTTTACAAATACTCCACATTGAATGACAGCAGTAGACACTGGGGACTCCTAGAGAAGGCAGGAAGGAGGAGCAAGGGTTGAAAAGGGATCTGTTGTATACCATGCTCACTACCTGGGTGACAGGATTTTTCTTATTCCAAACCTCAGCATCGTGCAAGATACTCATGTAACGAACATGCACATGTACCCCCTGAATCTAAAATAAAAGGTGAAATTATTTTTTTAAAAAAAGCAGAGGGTGGTGGGGGTTGGAATGAACTTTAGATATGTAATAAGTTTGTTTGAAAACAATGTCATGCTTTCATTAAAAATTAATTTTCCTCAAGAAACTCCAAATTCTCCACCTTGAGAATGAAAAGTACATTTAAATTTCAAGAAGGTATGAGCATGAGAACTTTGCAGTTTTCCAATTTGTGGAGACAAACTAATTTTTTTTTTTTTTTTTTTT